GATAAAATGGTCATACAACGGAATTGACCATATGAGTAAAATCGAAAAACGAACGATTTTTTGTCATCTATAGCGTACACTAGGATAAAGCCATCAATATCAACGGAACAACTCCGAGGAAATATTGAGTACTCTTGTTGTCCAGCAGTGTCTGAAAGATAACTGGACTGTCTGTAAAGTTAGGAACGAAGCATACACAAAGAAATTTTTCAAAGGGTAAAAAGAAAAATACCCAAAGAGCAGTCCAGCTTACAAATACATCCAGAGAGCAGTAAAGAAGCAAGCGGAATATAAACTACGGGCAACTTTTCAAAGGAAAGGAATAAAGTCTCCACCGTTAATCAACCCATTTTTGATATGCACGCGGCACGCGCTCCACTTCCAGTCGAAATCTCAATGGCTTATTGAATGCGAGGGGCCCTACATAACGACTTCCGAGGACTCGACAAGTGAGTGTTCTTATCTTCACAAAAAAAATCTGCTGTTCAATTCACTGTTCCCAAAGGGTAGCACGCTTTGCTTGGCGGTATCCGGCTCGTTATTTGACCCCCGGACAGTGCGTGTGGTAAGCGTGTCACCTGCCCGTACGTACACCACATCTGGTCGTATCCGAAGAAAAGTTTTTGAGCTACAAAGCTTTCCAGTCACACGTGTCCATACAAAAGAGTAAAGTTCACACGTGTCCATACAAAAGAGTAAAGCACCTAAGATGTCTTGTCAAGAAGAACTGCTTATTTGGTAACGAGGAGTGATATTTTTTCCAAAAAAAGGCGCTACTTTCTGTACCGGGAAATCCTGCTAAAATGCACCTGAAATAACTCGCTCAAGGCATGGAAGAAAACATGCCTTGAGACACTTCCCTAGTTGATAATCGTCTCCTTCGCACTTTACAGCAGACTACCGCGTAAAATTGAAAAAAAAATCGGAAAACTCCACACGCAAACTTTGGATCGTATAAGTTACGATTACTATAATAGTAATAAGACAAATAACCGCAGCCAAGTACCTTGAAGTAGTGCCCAAAAGCAGAGAAAAGTTATCTAAAGGTGCAATACGTTGACGGTACACTTCTGCTGTTCACATTTGTAAAATTTGGTTGACTCGATTGAATAAACGGTGAAATCAGAAGAGAAAGGTGCATTATTTCAAACAGGTGCAAATTTAGGTACGAATGGAGCAGAGTGCAAGACGTTGTAAACCACGACAACGAATTTCTGTACTAGAACTATAACAAAGCCATAGTCTCGCTCTCAAACGGATGCAGAAAGGATGTTTTTTGCAATAAGAATACTTCACACACGTCTTCACTATTTCACTAAACTTGAGCACAAATCCTCATCCCTTGGCTAGCAACCATTTCCTCGATACTTCTAATGCTATGGAGAAAACCGGAGAGATTGCGACAAAAGGAGGCTCGGTGTTCGAAAAACTTCATGCGCGAAATATCGGTAAATCTCATCCGTCAGAACTTGCATCAAATTGCTTTGTTCAATGAAACAGCGCCGAAAAAAAGATTCGCGTAGAAAAAACACCTGAGGGTAGCTATTGAAATGGCACTTAATGACACCATAATTCTGGATAAAGACCAAAGTTCTTGGTTCAGGGTAAATCATCCTCCCGTGAAAATAAGACGGAACAGGGAGGGGGTCGCACATGGTCTCGAAAGGAGGTAATCCGATCGCTGAATTAATGATTTTCCCAAAAAAAAATCAAACGGATCGTACTAAGCAAAAGGATACACACGTGACGATGTGTTCTGATTTGGATATCTGCTCGACCTCAAGCAAATATGAATTTGGAAGGTTTCAACGCGCTCTATCTGAGAGTACTTTGTATATTCCAGGAACACTGTCTTTCTTACAACTCACATGAATATCCCCTACCACTCGAACAAAGAAAAATTGCTGAAAGCACGCGTAACTTAGCTATTAATCTGCACAGCTTCTTTTGCAAAGCCAAACCAAAAAAGTCCACGAAGAGAGATTTCTATACTGCTATCCCCAGTGCGGATTGATTTTTGATAGCAACGTAAGTTAGTTTCCAACCCTCGCTCACTCGTAATTGTGCGCGTGACACGGCCAGAAACAAAAACTGTTCGTGACTCACGTGATTAACACGATTATATCTTCTTCGAGAATTATAACGATGAAAAGAACCACGAACAAGAAGCTTCGACAAAAGTAATTCGAAAGATTACTCGACATTTAGGAGCTCTTGTAAAAAAATAGTGAATCTCACCTGTGATTTTAAGGTTATAATCTCGGCCAAGCCAACGATATGGTTTGTTGTGAAGATCTTCTATAGTGGTGTCATAAGCATCCGGGAAATGGCCTTGGACAAAGCGTAAAGTAATGGATGATTTTCCTAGAAAAAGATGTAGGATTTCGACTCAGTGCGGTAAAATGTGTCAACTCACCAACACAAGGATATCCCATTAAAGCGATCTTCCGGGTGATTACATTTTTAGAGCCGCTCGCCATTGTACAAAATGCTGAAACTTCCACATACAGATCTCGAAGGAATACGTTTTGAAAATAAAACCTTTTCAAACAACAGGTTTGGGCCAACAATATGACACAAGATTTGCTGGACGATCCCATGCGCGTGTCAACGCGTGCGATCGCGTCGCGGTTTGAACTGGAGCGCGTCAACGGAGTGCTCACGGGTGAAAGTTCGTGTCTACTTTGACCCTTGTCTAAAAAGGGGTATTTGCAACCGGGTTCAACAGTTGCATAGCCAAACATACATGCTTAACATAAGCGAATTGATGAAGTTCATGAGGGGGGAAAACCAGCCATGCTTCTACCAGCGGTGACTGAATAATTCCTTGCACATTCCTCAAAAGTCACCTTTTTAAATGTACACCCGATGAAAAGGGTATATACTGATAGAGTGATAAGCTGATCTGAACTGACTAAAAGTCAAACAGGCTCACCTCGGACTTAATAGAAGCAGAAATATTTCAAAATCATCCTTCTCCATCGCTTCATCATTAACGATTATCTGAATCCCACGTGGACAGCATCATAACTCTGCAGAAATTTTACTAATCAGAAATGAGAAAAATTCCGATTTTCCCTGTTCGAATGTATAACGGAGGTTTAAGTGAGTTCTGCTTCAAAACGCGTGTTTTTCCGTAGAACACGTTCTTATAAGCACTGCACATTATCAGCACTGTTTCGGATGGTGGTCTTGCTGATACAGAATACCCAAGGCATTTGAAATGATGATTTTTGCACAAGGCAATCGGTTCCCTTACCCTGGAGCTCCTTTTCTCCCTAGATAAGCACTTGTCCCCGACTCAAAATTGTTTCTTCCGACTTTACAGCACAGAACAATTTTTTTTTCACTGGAATACAGAGTATTTCATTTGGAATAGTTAATACCTTTGCACAAAGAAAGCCTGGGAAGATAAAAATCAATAACTAAAAATAAAAACAAACGATGTATAGGAAATCATTCATCAATGAATAATTATTGTCCTAACAACACATCATCACGGGTACTGAGAAAAGTCCGAGAATTCTAGAAACGATAAAGTCATAGTCATCCTATTCCTTCAACCTCACTCACCTGGTTCCCGATAAAAGAACTAAAATTCAACCGGTGAGCCTTGTCAGATATTTCGCTAGCTCTGACCTTCTACTACAGTTTCGAGAAGATATTTCTAATGCGTTGGTAATACCACAAACAAGGACACGAAGCGAAAAAATCTTCCGACGGGCAACTAATCAAGATAAACATCGAGCAAATCTGCTCCAAACCGCATCGCAGCGCAATCACGGGAAAAACGCATGGGTTGCTCGGGGCCATGCAAGAACTCCGAATACTGGCTTGTGTGAAACGACGATAATCGATCACATGAACAAGCGCCAGATAACATCAAGCGCTCGGGATCGTCGATTGCCAGATAAAAGCAACAAAGGATTCCCCTGAATGGGAGGTGGATGGAAAGAATGTCCCCAACGGGGTGTTGTTTGAGCGTTTTGAATCTTGTTTACGGGAACTCTCGTTCTA